CAAAGGAGGAGGCTACAATGCTTGATAAGAAATGTACTCATTATCTTGCCCATGTAATTGTAACCCCTCTGTACAGTATTTTCACAATAAAAAAAAGATGGATTTCTGGTCAAAGGGATTTGTTTTTGTGTTTTTGAGTTGCAATTAACTTGAGTATAATATAAAATCTAATGATAAAGGGATCTATTTAATTTGGCTTAACATTCCCCAAGCTTATTTGACCCTAGAACTTCCTTTTCTCTTCCAGTTCCTGTTAATAAATGGCAAGTTAGCATATTTTAGATCAGGTCATCCCCAAGGTTAGTGTCAGCTCCTTGAAGGAATGGTCCAATGAAATTAACAATAATAGAGCCAAAGGTATTCGGGAAATAACAGCGGATTTAGTAAGAACTAGACTGAAGCTTTGCCACATTGAAACTATGACTCAGGCAAGTAGCTTAACCTCTCTGTCTTCAGTTACTCCAGCAGTGACATTAATGTATTACTGCTTCCTTTACTGAATCATTGTGACTTCAAAAGACTGACAATGATTCAGGAATAGGCTGGTACTCTACCTTTTTTTTTTTTTTTAATCGGTTGTGGGGCTTGAACTCTGGGCCTGGGTGCTGTCCCTCAGTTCTTCAGCTCAAGGCGAGTGTTCTACCACTTAAGCCACAACACTACTTCCAGTTTTCTGGTGATTTATTAGAGATAAGAGTCTCATGGACTTTCCTGCTTGGGCTTGCTTTGAACTATGATCCTCAGATCTCAGCCTCCTGATTAGGATTACAGGCATGAGCTACCGGAGCCCAGTGGTACTCTACCATTTTATATAAAATCTGGTGCTAAGTCAGCCACCTAAGGAATGCCATCTAAAGAAGATGCCACTGTGCAGACTTACCCATCTCCCCTAGTTAGCCCAGCACGGGCAGGTTTTTCTCCAGCCATGCCCTCCAGGCCTTTACTATTTCTGTGTACACTGGCCTTTTTCCCCACTGCCACTATCCATGTCCCTGTGGGCCACTCTGAGGCCTGGAGCCTGCTTTGCTTACCTTTAGCTAGAAGTCCTGGAACATAATGCTACCCATGTGCGATTCTCAACCAGTGACTGATACTGATGGAGCTTGTGGATAAATATTCTGTCCCACTGCTCCCTGCCTTAGTGAGATCACTGAGGTGTGTCCTCTACACTGAGTCCCACAGCGCCCTAGGACTGACTGCTTGATCACTCACCTCTTAAATGCTTCCTTCCCTTCCCTGCCTCACTTTCCCCTTCCTCCTCTATTGGTATCTCTAGGGACTTATGTTCCAAATCAGTTCCTTTCAGTCTCCTGTTGAGGGAAGCTGGATGTGGTAGATCTATAAAGTAGATAGATTGTGTGTCATGCACATGCCTGAGGGAGAAGCAAGACCCTATTCTAAAATAACCAGTGAAAAATTAAGCTGGAGGTGTGGCTCAGTGGTAGACTGCCAGCTTAGTAAACATAAAGCCCTGAATTCAAACCCAGCACTACCAAAAAAAAAAAGTTATTGGTGAAGTCCCCTCTGGCCCTTGTTCCCAGCTATCTGGTTCCTTTCCTTAAAAGCAACCACTCACCAGCTTCCTGGGTGACCTTCCTGAGCTAATGTATGGAACTGCGTGAAGTGTATCTTGAATCTTTAGACATTAGAATCACAAGCCAACATCCCTGAAGTCTGAGGCAGATAATGGGTATAGCAACTTCTCTTCTTTTATCTCACACTCACTCTAAACAGTGCATAAGCACTCCAAATCACTTTTCTTTATTTTTGCCCCGTGTACAAAATTAAGTCCTCAGAAACGTGCATGAGAGACATCTCCACTGTATAGATGTGCAGGAAGTCTGGGTATAGTCCTGTAACAGGTCCAAGAAGCACTGAGGGGCCTGTCTGTCTTACATCACACTGGTCAGTCAGGGAGGGGCGGGACAAAGATACTTCTTTGGCCTTGTGCCCTCCTCAGAGAATCTCTTTTTCTCTCTCTCTCTCCTAGGTTGGCAACCACATTGATGTGCTCACTGGCAAATGGGTGGCCCAGGATGCAGGCATCGGTGCTGGTGTTGACTCCTATTTTGAGTACTTGGTGAAAGGAGCCATCCTACTTCAGGATAAGAAGCTCATGGCTATGTTCCTGGGTAAAAAAGGGCAGGGAAAAGGGTTTTTTCCATAATCTTTCCTGTCCAACTGTGGGTTGTAAACTTGCAGTTTCTGCCTACCGAATCTATTTCAGATATCTGAGTCTACCTTCAAAGTAGACTGCCCACTTGATATCTACTGTATCTCTTCGTGCCTTTTTTTTTTCTTTTTACTTAAACTTAGCACAGGACTTAAACTCTACATGGGTACTATCTTTGAGCTTTTTTTGCTCAAAGCTAGCACTCTACCACTTGAGCAAGCTTTTTGGTGTTTAACTGGAGATAAGTCTCATGGAGTTTCTTGTCCTTGTTAGCTTCAAACTACAATCCTCAGATCTCAGCCTCTGGAATAGCTAGGATTACATGCAGGAGCCAGCAGCACCTGGCTCTTCATGCCTTTTTATTTTTTTGTTTTTATGCTGGTCTGAGACTTGAACTCAGGACTTAGGTACTGTCCCTGTGCTTCTTTATCTTGTTTTCTTGTTTTGTCTTTTTTTTTTGTCAGTCATGGGGCTTGAACTCAGGGCCTAGGTGCTGTCCCTCAGCTCTTCAGCTCAAGGCAAGCACTCTACCACTTAAGCCACAGTGCCACTTCTGATTTTCTGATGATTTATTGAGATAAGAGTCTCATGGAGAGTTGGGAAGATGGCTCAGTGGTAGAGCGCTTACCTTGCATGCATGAGGCCCTCAGCACCACATAAGCAAAAAAGAAAAAAGCCGAAAGTGGTGCTGTGGCTCAAGTGGTAGAGCACTAGCCTTGAGCTGAAGAGCTGAGCGACAGCACCCAGGCCCTACAACCAGACCCCCCCCCCCAAAAAAAGAACAAGAGTCTCATGGACTATCCTGCCCAGGGTGGTTTTGAACCATGATCCTCAGATCTCACCTCTTGAGTAGCTAAAATTATAGGCATGAGACACTAGCGCCTGACTTCCTGTGATTCTTTTGCTCTAGGCTAGCATTGTACTACTTGAGTCACAGTGCCATTTCCAGCTGTTTCTGAGTCATTTATTGGAGAGAAGAGTCTCACAGACTTTTCTGTCTTGGCTGGCTTCAAATTGTGATCCTCAGATCTCAGCCTCCTGAATAGCTAGGAATACAGCCACCAGCACCCGGCTCTTTATATCTTTTTTTTTTGGGGGGGGTGGTCTGGTTGTGGGGCTTGAACTCTGGGTCTGGGCACTGTCCCTTAGCTCTTCAGCTCAAGGCTAGCGCTCTACCACTTGAGCCACAGCGCCATTTCTGGCTTTTTTCTTTCTGCTTATGTGGTGCTGAGGAATCGAACCCAGGGCCTAAGAGCCATTTGATCCATGTGCATTTTGTCATCATGGCCAGATTTATCACTTGGCCATTGCACATGGTATTTCCTTTGCCTAGAATCCCTTTTTTCCTTTTTTGCCTCAAGTCCTTTTTTTTTTCTTTTTGTCCAAATTCTGTTCATCCTGCAGAGTCTAACTTAAATGATATTGTCTTATTTATTTGAATGTATATTTGGTATTTTGGTTATTCAATTATTTATTTTAAGCGGGGTGCCTCTATCCTAGCTACTCAGGAGGCTGCGATCTAAGGATCATAATTCAAAACCAGCCAAGGAAGGAAAGTTTATGAGACTCTTATCTCCAATTAACCACCAGAAAACTAGTTGTGATACTGTGGCTGTAAGTAGTAGCCTTGAATGAGAAAAACTCAGGGACAGTGCCCAGGTCCAAGCCCCAGAACTGACAAAAAGAAAAAAATTATGTATGTATTATACAGTGTCCTAGTTTTGGGCTTTGGTAGTAAATAAAGTCCCAGCCCTAATGGATTTCTAATCTAGGAAAGAGGTATGAGTTCAAGTTTCCATTGGAATGTTAGTTCCTTATGGCTAGACGTTGTCTTGTTGACCACTCAGCAGCCAGTAGGTTCTTGCTTATTTGTCAAGTGAATAAGTAACTGAAGATTACCATGAGGTGGGTAACATTACTTTCCCAACTTAACAAATAGAAAAACTGAGGCTTAAGTGGGGAAAATGGCAGCACCAGGACCCCCACACACACTTGCGTCATTTCATCCTTGTCTGCTTTGAGGCTAGTATTTCAAAATAAAGTGTTTCAAAAGTGTTAAGTCCATATTTCTGTGGTCAAGGCTGGCCTTTTATCTCCTTAATCAGTTGTATGTTTATTATCCCATTTGCCATGATACAGAGTATAACAAAGCCATTCGGAATTATACCCGCTTCGATGACTGGTACCTGTGGGTGCAGATGTACAAGGGGACTGTGTCCATGCCTGTCTTCCAGTCCTTGGAAGCCTATTGGCCTGGTCTTCAGGTAAGAACAATCAAAAAGAGTGGTCATTTCTCTAGGAAGTTTTTTTTTTTGTTTCTTTTGTGTGCCAGTCCTGGGGCTTGAACTCAGCATCTGGACATGGTCCCTGAGCTTTTTTGCTCAAGGCTGGACTCTACTACTGAGCCACAGCTCCACTTCTGGCTTTTTTGGTAGGTTAGTTAAGAAAGTCTTACAGCCTTTCCTGCCCAGGCTGGCTTTGAACTGCAATCCCCAGATCCCTGTAGGCTTATAGGTGTGAGCCACTGGTTTCTGGCTTCATGTTTCTATGGAATGGCAAAGCAAGTTCATTTTGATGTATTTTCACATAAATTACTTAAGTTGAATGAATACTTTCAGGGGGTACATTTAAGATGGAAGAAGGACATAGGGTGAATAAATGCATGATTCTGTCATATTTAGTCTTCCAAGGCGACCATTAAGGTGTAAGGAACTTGGTGTCCAGTTTGCCATAGAATGTTGTACCATCTATATACACAGTGTCTTTCTATTCTGGGCAGGAGCCACAACTGGCAACAGCTGTTTCTTCAGGGGACATTCTGTCACATTTCCTCCTTAACAGTGGACATGTTTTTCCCACCAGCATGATTTTTTTTTCCCCAACACAGTCTGATAGGATAACAGATAAGATGAGATCCTGATCTTGTCTAATATACCCACCAGGTATGTCAAAATATTTCATTTACCAAGATACTTTATAATCTAGGCAGTTTTTAAACTATCTTTTTATTTTAAGAAAAAAATATGAGTTGAAGATGTGGCTTCATGGTAGAACACTTTGTTTTTTTAGTCATGGGGCTTGAACTCTGGGCCTGGGGACTGTCCCTCAGCTCTTCAGCTTATGGCTAGCACTCTACCACTTGAGCCACAGTACCACTTTCAGTTTTTCTGGTGGTTTATTGGAGATAAGCATCTTAGGGACTTTCCCTGCCCGGGCTGGCTTTGAACCACGATCCTCAAATCTCAGCCTTCTGAGTAGCTAGGATTTACAGGCATGAGCCACTGACGCCCTGCTTAGAACATCTTTTTAGCAAGTGTGATGTCCTGGATTGGTGTTAACACAGCACAGTTAACCTTTTTTCTTAGAATTTTGAACTAGCTGGCTAAAATAAAAAACTACTGGTAGCAAACATTGACCAGGGAGATTGAGAGACTTAATATATAATCTTAATACCTCCCAATAATGTTTGAGATACATGCTGAATTTTACATATTACAGATGAAGCCCAGAAAAGTTAACCCTGGTTCAGGACTATTCAGTGAGTTAACAGCAGTCTCAGGGTTTGATCGAGATTTTTTTTTTCCTCCTTAGCCTGATTTGCCTTTTTCTGAGTTCAATTGTGAGGTTTTAGCTGTGGATTTTCAGGCCTTGCATATACTCTCTTACCACTGCTTCTCTCCTATAGAGCCTCATTGGGGACATTGACAATGCCATGAGGACCTTTCTCAACTATTACACTGTTTGGAAGCAGTTTGGAGGGCTTCCAGAATTCTACAACATTCCTCAGGGATACACAGTGGAGAAGCGAGAGGGCTACCCACTTCGGCCAGGTGAGCAGTGTCTCTGATTATGGCCAGCCCACAGGCTTTGTTGCCTCACACCATAATTCTGCTCAGATGCATGCTATTTTCCCCCCCTCTTCTCTAGTGGCTCTTTGTGGTTTTTCTACTAGGAATTATATCCTCCCATATTTTCAGGTTTGGAAACTGAGACTTAGTGAGTTGAAATGGCTTGTACAAGTTTTGTAAAGTGTAGGAACTGGGACTGGAACCCAGATCTGCTAACTTAAGTTCTCTATTCTTTAAAATTCAGAAGTGAGTGAGAAATCAAAACAAACAGGTTGCTTCTTTTGGAACTCTGCCACTAGGATGAACTGTTTGTTCAGCAGTGCAGGCAGGTACATTCTGGTACATTCTGCTTCTATAGTAAAACATTAGGATAGACCTTAGGCACTTTCTAATTTCATTCCACTCTCCCTTTGTAGCTCAGAATCAAGTTAAAATTACATGTATGAGGCTCTGGGTTTGATTCCTTACCACCCCATAAACAGAAAAAGCCAGAAGTGGCACTGTGGCTCAAGTGGTAGAGTTCTGCCTTGAGCTGAAGAGCTGAGGGACAGCGTCCAGGCCCAGAGTTCAAGCCCCACAACCGACAAAAAAAAAAAACAAAAACAGAAGTGTCGCTGTGGCTCAAGTGTTAGAATGCTAGCTTTGACCTGAAGAGCTGAGGGACAGTGCCCAGGCCCAGAGTTCAAGCCCCATGACTGACCAAAAAAAAAACTAAAAGAGCACTATCTTTTCTGTCTGTGTTCATCTGCCAGTGAGCTACCCCAGACTGCATTTTAGAAAATGAGCAATTGGACTAGTACTTGTCTAGAGTACTAGTACAAGTACTAGTACTTGTCTACTATCTGTAGCTCAGTGGAAGAATGTGCTTAGCCTACAAAAAGTTCTGGGTTCAGTACTCAACACTGCAAAATGGATGAATGAGTAAATGAAATAAGAGCTAGAGTTTGCAGTAGTAGATGAAGAAAGAGGTGCTAATTTAGGCCCAGGAGGGCAGCAAAGGAAAAGATTGGAGAGATGCTGGCAAAGGGATGGGAGAGCAGATCTTTCCTCTGAGAAAAATTGGATTATAAAGTAGGAAAGCATATTGAGCTATAGCTTCTGCCCTCTTAGGTCATGCTCAGTGGACAGTAAAATCTTTTTTTTTATAACACTCCTTAGATATTTGAAAGTAATAGATGTGCTTCTTATTTGTTTAATTTCCCAGAATAAATACTCTCATCTGGACTTACTCCTGTTAGCTAATATCTGTGTTAAAAGACAAGACTCGAGCCGGGCGCCTGTCACGCCTGTAAGCTTAGATACTCAGGAGGCTGAGATCTGAGGATCTCAGTTGGAAGCCAGCCTGGGCAGGAAAGTCTGTGAGATTCTTATCTCCAATAAACCACTAGAAAACCAGAAGTGGCGCTGTGACTCAAGCGGTAGAGCTCAGGGACAGCGCCCAAGGCCAGAGTTCAAGCCCCATGACCAACCAAAAAAACAAAAAGACAAGACTCCTTTCTGAGTATCACACACTATCTGTGGTGCAGCACAGCTGGAGCTAGACTCTCACATTTTCTGTGCACCGTGACCCAATGAAACTGGGTGCTTGAAAATTTCATCCTTTTTGTCCATCTCATTGCAAATAGGGCTTTAAAATGACAGGCTCCTAAATGCCCACTCTAATAGATATGAAGTATTTATGTTGATTTTGATTAGCATTTCCTTTATGATCAATAATGTTAATGATTTTAGTATATTTATTGTCTATATGCATATTTTCTTTGGAAGATTATCTGAAAGATCATTTTAATTTGGTTGTCTAATTATTATTGAAGTGTAACTGTTTTTTACATATTCTAGATGTGAATTCTTTATCAGATTATGAAATATAAGCATGTTCTTGTATTCTGTTTTTCTTGTTTTCTTCTGGTTTTTTGTTTTAATGTTTCCTCTAAGTAAAAAGTTTGTAATTAAAAAAAAAAGACAGGCTCCTATTTTTAAGATTAAATTAGGCTGTTAATGACAGGAAACAATAGTAGCTTAATAAAGATGGGCATTTCTTTCTCATATTCTGAGCATATGGAGCTCCCTACAGAGCTACTGGGAATAGTTGTCAGGCTAGGCAACCAGATACTACTAATAAGGAGGAAGATAGAACAGACAGTGGGAAACAGACTGCAGCCTCTGCCACCTCTGTCCTAGAGCCTGGCTGCCTTTCTGTCCCCAGAGGTGCAAGTTCATGGTTAGCCTTAAACTAGTCTCCTGTGTACATCAGACCTGGGGCATATTGGTTCTGAGAACAGCATTGGGTGAGATAATCCCCTAGTTCCTCCTTATTGGGATCCTGTGAACCTGGTATAGAGGAAAGGAGTCCCTCAGGTAATCTGAGAGGGCCCCAGGCACTGCCTGCTCAATCACTGGGTGAGGAGGGTCTGCTTGGCCTTTACAGAGCTCATTGAGAGTGCAATGTACCTCTACCGAGCCACGGGAGATCCCACCCTGTTAGAACTTGGAAGAGATGCTGTGGAATCCATTGAGAAAATCAGCAAGGTAGAATGCGGATTTGCCACAGTAAGTATTTTGGGGGCCCAAGAATGGGGAATAATCTCCCCCTGCTTCTGGGAAACCTCTTCAAGGGTGGGGCTTTAGAGCACTGGAACATTAGTATTAGAGAAGACCTTAGAGATGGGTGTAAACTAATGAATAGGGAAGCTGAGCGCCTGGTTGAAGGGTGCACATCTAAGATTAATTTCCAGTGGCACCTCCCTTATTGGCTTTTTTTTTTTTTTTTGAGATCCTTATATATCAGAATGGGCTGTTTTGCAAAGTGGGTGTTGTAGAAAGTTTTATGAGAGGGCTTAGAAAGTGGAGTTTGGGGGCTGGGAAGGTGGCTCAGTGGTAGAGTGCTTGCCTTGCATGCCTGAGGCCCTGGGTTCGATTCCTCAGCACCACATAAGCAAAAAGAAAAAAGCCGGAAGTGGCGCTGTGGCTCAAGTGGTAGAGCGCTAGCCTTGAGCTGAAGAGCTGAGGGACAGCGCCCAGGCCCAGAGTTCAGGCCCCACGACCGGACCCAAAAAAAAAAATTCTTCTTTTGAAAACATTTATAATGTGATTATATTTTATAAGGAAAATACAGATCCATGTTTTGAAAGCAAAGACCTATATGTGTAGGAAGGAAATAAAACAGTGTTGTGTTTTGGCTCTTAATGTGTTATATCCTGGGAAAGACCAAAGTGCTCTGACATTGGAACCACCTTAGGAATGCTAGACTCCATGACAATGAAGCTTTTTGGAGGTCTTCCAAGTATTTGGTAGAAAAACTGTCCTGTCTTTATCAAACAAGGCAAAGAAAAGTCTTAGTGCATTCTAGTCCATTTTTAAGTCTCTTTTTTTTTCTTTTGGTGCTATGGGATTAGAACTCAGAGCCTTGTGCTTGCTAGACAGGTGCTAGACTGCTAAACCATGCCTCCAGATCTTTTTGGCACTGATTATTTTTAATGTAGGGTCTCACATTCTGTCCAGGCATGTACCTGGAGTGTGATCTTCCTCCTGTTTTTCTTTTCTCACCATAGTTGAGATGATATGAAGCACCATGCCTAGCTTCTTCCATTGACATGGAGTCCATGGCTTTTCTGTCCAGGTTGTCTTGAAACTATGATCTTCCTGATCTAAGCCTTTCATGTAGGTAGCTAAGATGATAGGTATGTGCTATGGTGCTCAGCTATTGGTTGAATAAGGTCTTTTTTTTTTTTTGGTTGGTCATGGGACTTGAACTCTGGGCTTGGGCGCTGTCCCTTCTCTCTTCAGTTCAAGGCGAGTGCTCTACCGCTTGAGCCACAGCACCACTTCGGGTTTTCTAGTGGTTTTATTGGAGATAAGAGTCTCACGGACTTTCCTGCCTGAGCAGGATTTTTCTGTCAAAGCCGGCTTTAAACCGTAACTCTCTAGGTCTCAGCTACCTAAGTAACTAGAACTGTAAATGTAAGCCACCAGCACCCAGCTGGAGGTTTACCAGTAGATATCATTGAGACTTAGAACCTAAAGTAAATGTAGCAAGTTTTCTTATTCTATGCCTGTCAACTCTGTTGAAACAATCTAAATTAGACTTTTGGTTCATAAACAAGAACTTGGTGGCTACTTTGAGACCCAACTAAGGAGGATTAGCTCAGCAAATCGTGATATATTTTGATGATGGAATATCATTTTGTTGTTAAAGGGAACGATTAGCTCTATGTTCATAGTCACAAAAAGGCAGGATACAAGAGTTTGGAGATCGTCCTGGGATGTAGGGAGGTCAGAGAGGACCCTTCTGGGAGGTAGAATTTGAATGGAGATGTACAAGAGATGAGAGAGCATTCCTGCATACAGAGTGCTCTGGCTGAAAGAACAGGATGCAAAGATCCTGAGGTGGGAGTGAACTGCTAGCTCAGGAACAGAAAGGCCATGTGGCCAGAGCTGCAAGCAGAGGCAGAGCCCAGATCATGAAGGACCTGGTAGCCATGGTAAAGACTTAATTTTTAGCCTATGAAGTGGTGTCAGAAGATGGTTATGAAAAGAAGAGTGACAGGTTAAGACTCATGGTCTAAGTATAATGTAGGGTAAACATGGAAAATCCAGGGAAGAGATGGTGGTATCTTGGAAGAGTTATTCTCCCCGCAAGGGCCTTGGCTGCCTAGTGGCAAAGCAGCTCATGAAGGGGGTGGGGTCTCACTACCAAACTGTGCTGTTCTTCTAACTTGCTTCCTTCTCCCTTGTGGCAGATCAAAGACCTCCGAGACCATAAGCTTGACAACCGCATGGAGTCCTTCTTCTTGGCTGAGACTGTGAAATACCTCTACCTGCTATTTGACCCAACCAACTTCATCCACAACAATGGCTCCACCTTTGATGCAGTGATGACCCCCTATGGGGAATGCATCCTGGGGGCCGGGGGCTATATCTTCAACACCGAAGCTCACCCCATCGACCCTGCCGCCTTGCACTGTTGCCGCAGGCTGAAGGAGGAGCAGTGGGAAGTGGAAGACTTGATGAGAGAATTCTATTCTCTCAATCGAAAAAGGTCAAGATTTCAGAAAAAGACCAAGAGTTCAGGGTCCTGGGAACCTCCAGCAGGGTCAGGCACACTCTCCTCACCGGAAGCTCATGGCGAGACAAGTGAGAAGCAACCTGCCAAGGAGAAAATCCCACTTCTCAGCTGCCCCAGCCAGCCCTTTACCTCTAAACTGGCATTGCTGGGACAAGTTTTCCTAGATTCTTCATAACCACTGGATGATTTTTTTTTTTACTTTTTTGAGACTAAACTATAGTAATAAATGTGCTTTTGGCTATCACATTTCATATATTGGACTATTTTCATGAGATTCAATTCAAAGAAAGCGTTCGTGGTGCTGAGTGCTGGTAGCTCACACCTGTAATCCTGGCTGCTCAAGAGGCTGAGATCTGAGGATCACAGTTTGAAGCCAGCCTGAGCAGAAAACTCCATGAGACTCTTATCTCTAACCAGCTAGGCTGGTGGTCTTTGAGACAAGACTCCACTAGCAGTCCACTGGCTCTCCAGTAAAGACTCCCAATTCCACCTCTTAAGTGGTAGCTCTCTGTTTCTCATGACTGAGTTCCCTTGCAACATTTGAGGAAAAAAGCAGGAAGGGAAGGTGTGACTCAAGTCCTAGAGTACCAGCTTTGAGCTAAAAAGCCAAGAGTATGAAGCTGAGTTCAAACCCCAGTACTGGCACACAAACACAAACACACAACAAACATAGATTGAAACAAAATGAAAAGGTTCATGACTAATAGTAGTTAGAGAAAAGTTAAACCCCAAGTTAGCTGATAGCTAACTCTCCCTTTTCTGATATGTCTGGGGAGGATGTGATTACCCAAAGTGTGTCTTTGTTCTTGCTCCAACCTGTGCTTTTTTTTTTTTTGCATTTCATATCGTTTATTCCTGATAATATTCATAATACTCAGATTTGCTTTTTTATTTTTTTCAATTTTTTTAAATTGTGAAAATACCGTACAGAAGGTTACAATTACATGAGCAAGGTAATGAGTACATTTCTTATCAAGCATTGTTGCCTCCTCCTTTGTTTCCCTTTCCCATCCCTTCCCATCCCCGCCCCCAACCTGTGCTTTTGCCCTATAACTGTCCCCTTCACCCATCTGTCAGTCCAGGCAGTAGATTCTACAGCCATAACCCCCAAGGGACAGTGGTGAACAAGTTTTTATTCTTGCAGAAACTAAATTCTAGCAGAGAGAAGTAAACTGGTTTGTATATCAAATTACACTAGCAGAAGGTGCATGAAAAAATAGGATGTTCTCTTAGCAATGAGTAGATAAACCTTTTAGTTAGAGTTGTCTGAGAAGGCCTGGAGGAGGGGAGGTGTTTTTTTTTTTCCCGTAAACTTAGTTATGTAGAATTTTAAATAAAAATGGAACAGGATAGTAATCCTTCATGTACTTATCAATTTATCACCTATCTTCTAAAGACCCAGATTTGCTAGGCACTGATGGCTCATATCTATAATCCTAGCTTCTCAGGAGGCTGAGATCAGGATTGAGCTTTGAAGCCAGTCAAGACAGGAAAGTCCATGAGACACATCTTCTGTTAACCACTAAAAGCCAAAAGTGGACCTGTGGCTCAAGTGGTAGAGTGCCAACCTTGAGCAAAAAAAGCTAAGGGATAGCACCCAGGCTCTGAATTGAAGCCCCAGGATCAACACACACACACGCGCGCACGCACAAAAAATCAGCTTCAAAGATAGACTCACTATCCTATTTTATTTCATTTATAATTACTAGAGAATAGAATCCCAAACATCATGTTATTTCCTCCATGACAGTATTTCCAGGGGTAATGTTCATCTGTAAACCCAGCACTGAGAAACTAAAGCGGGAGAATTTTGAATTTAAGTCCAGTTTGGGCTGTATAATGAGATATTTTGTCTCAAAAACAAAAAACTTCAGAATGTATCCTCAAAGCACACCGACAAAAATCAATATACAGTTAATGTTCAACATTCCTTTTTGTTAATTTATAAGTCTGTGTTGTTGTTTGAATCAGGATTCAAGTAAGACACAGGAATTAGTGTGCTGCAGTACCTACTGATCTCAGCTGTACTCTTTGTCCCTTCTTCCCTCCCTATCTCCTATGTTCACTGCAATATTTTGAAGAAACTGAGCCATATAGATTTGGCTAATTGTATTCCTGTGTATAGCATGTGACACTGTATTTCTATTGCAAATTGATATGAAGATCTAGAGTAATCAGATTTGAAATTTTGTTTTTATTTTTTAGGAATTGTTAGGTTAATCTGGGTGCTGTTGGCTCACACCTGTAATCCTAGCTACTCAGGAGGCTGAGATCCGAGGACCATGGTATGAAGGTAGCTTGGGCAGAAAAGTCTATGAGACTCCTATCTCCAGTTAACCACCAGAAAACTGGAAGTGGCACTGTGGCTCCAAGTTATTAGAGCCTTAGCCTTGAGCAAAAGAGCTCAGGGACAGTGCTCAGGCCCTGAGTTCAAGCCTCATGAACGACAAAAACAACGAAAAAAATGTTCATAAATAGTGTTAGGTACATCAGTCATAAGGTATGTGTCTACTGATGTCTCTATTACCCATAGCCATGTGTTGATCATTGCCATATCTATTATTTCAATAGGGTTCCAAAGGAGTGATGCTCTAATTTGACTAGACTGTCAGCTATGTGAGTATCTTGCAATAGAATTCAGGAAAGCCAGGGTGAATACCTGATTCTTTGTCTCTGTATCCCAGCTTCCAAAAATAGCGAGTAGATTCCTTAGCATCTTCCAAAAGTGACATTAAAGGGGTGAGGGCGAGGGGCATGGTGTGTATACTTGGGTTTGGGCCTTGTACTTGCTAGGCAAGAGTTTTTTTTTTTTTTTTTTTAGGTCTGGTCGTGGGGCCTGAACTCTGAGCCTGGCGCTGTCCCTCAGCTCTTCAGCTCAAGGCTAGCACTCTACCACTTGAGCCACAGCGCCACTTCCAGCTTTTTTTTTTTCCTGCTTATGTGGTGCTGAGGAATTGAACCCAGGGCCTCTGGCATGCAAGGCAAGTGCTCTACCACTGAGCCACCTTCCCAGCCCTAGGTAAGAGTTTTTAACCATTAGAGTCACACCTTAGTCCCCAGCTCGTTTCTTTCTGTTGGTGGTGGTGGTTTTTTTTTTCTTGTGTTTTTTGTTTGTTTGTTTGAGCAGGGAGGAAGGGAGGCAAGATTAGGGGTTTGGGAGATGATCTCTCCAGCCTCCTGCCTTAGCCTCCTGGTGCTGGGATTACAGTAGTATACTACCACACCTGACCCATTTATTTGTTTTAATGATTTACAGACCTTTAGATTTAAACGCATTCATCAGTCATCACTCACTAAATCTCAGTTCACTTATTGTGGTTTCATTGTATCGCGGGTTGTTGTTGTTTTAAGCTAATTCTGTATCGTGGAATACTTGCTATATTGTGGTATTTTGTGGTATATATGTATTAATTGTGATTTTAATTATTTTTGCCTAAAAATTTAAAACAACATAAAATACAAAAATGTTAATTCAAACATACAAATAGAAATAAAGTATAATATGTATTTCATCAGCAGATGAATACTGTACTATACACCATGGAAATGCAGTACACCATTACTACTTACACAAATTTGCCAATGTGAGATTGTATAGGACACAGTGTTGGTTCTACGTTGTTGGTTTTTTTCTTGGTGGTCACGGGGCTTGAACTCTGGGCCTGGGCACTGTCCCTCGGCTCTTCAGCTCAAGGCTAGCACTCTACCACTTGAGCCACAGCGCCACTTCCAGGACACAGTATTGGCTAATGGGATGGAAGGCACTATCTTCTGTATCATGGGCGCTGATTGGCTCAGTGACCCTATAGCACTGGTCTGTGTGCTCTTGCACTGTGCCCACACATTCAGCATTTCTCCTTGTCCATTTGGATGTCTGGTAGCTGTGCATAATGTTGTTCTTCAGTGTTGTGTTTTTGTGAAATTTTTGTAAAAGTCTGAATTTATTTTAAGCCTTACGATCCCACCCAAATGTTCTGCACCTTCTAAGGCTTCTGGCAATGAGCCCTAGCACCAGAGGAAGATGCTTACCCTCCCAGAAAAGGTGTTAAAGGAAGGCAAAAGCTCTGCAGCTGTAGGCCACCTTTGTAGGATCGATGAATCTACTGTTCGCTACATAAAGACAAGAAGAATATTTAGGTCTATGGCAATGATGACGTTTAACAAGACTGCAGTGGGTGTCACTTCCCACATAAGGCCGTTGTGAGGATGGAGTCTGCGTTGGCCTGTGGATAAATGACTGCCCGAAGAAGAAGATCTCGCTGGATACCAACACTATCCAGACGAGGGCCAAGAAACTTGATGATAGTTTTGTGGGAAGCACAGATGTTCACAATGGTGGCGAGGATGATGAGGCAGCACTGTCAAGTGCTTCTTCCACCAGACCAGTATCATTCAGTGCCAGCAAGGGCTGCTTTGGCATCCCTAAACTCCTCTTTACCAAAGTACAAAATCGTACTTTTCTATCAATATATTGGCGTAAAGTCATGTGTGTGTGTGTGTGTATGTGTGTGTGTGTGTGTGTGTGTGTGTGTGTGTACTGAGGATTAAGCTGAAAGCCAGGGCACTCTCCCTTAGCTTTTTTACTCCAGGCTGGCATTCTACCACTTGAGCCACAAATCCACTTCTGGCTTTTTGGTAGTTAATTGGAGGTAAGAATCTCAAGGACTTTTCTACCTAGGCTGGCTTCAAACACAGATCATCAGATCTTTGCCTCCTGAGTAGCTAGAATTACAGATGTGAGCCATTGGCACCTGGCTCTTGACAGATTGATTCTAAAATTCAGATGGATGGAAATTCAAGGGACCCTAAAGAGCTAAGGCAATCATGAAAAAAGAACAGAATTGGAGGACTCACACTTACTACAAGATACTGTAATCAAGACTGTGTGGCACTAATATAAGGATGAACATATAAGCTAATGGAATAATTGTTTTTTCTTTGGGGAATATTAGGATTTGAACTCAGGGCCTTGTAGCCTACTAGGCAGGCATTCACCACTTGAGCCACACCCCCAGCATTTAATTAATGGAATAAAATTGAGTTCATTAATAAACCCTTGTATAAAGCCAATTGAATTTTTATGATCCTAGGTTTGTGATAGGGTCTCTCTGGAGGCCAGGACCACAATCCTTCTATTTACACTTCCCACTGTATGACAGATGTTCCCTAACCCACCCAGCCTAAAAGTGTGAACATTCTAATCTCTGTTCCCCTCCACGCCAAGTAACTAGGATTACAGATGTACCCAGGA